TATACTCAACACCTGAAGATTGCGTTATGCATGATATTCCAAGTCGTGCTATTGGTAAGGGATAATATTTATATATATATATATATATATATATATATATATATATATATATATATATATATAATCGTTTCACCCCGAGCCAGGCGGGAATGCCATTCGTACGCAGGAGTTTCAATGTACTGGTGAAGGTGAGAGAAGAGTCTGGTTAGAGTGGGAGACCGATGATAAATGATAAAAGCTGAACGCGTTTCAAAAACATAAAAAAGGGCAATTGACGTTGCATTTAAATTTTTCAAGACTGTAGTTTTTAGGGAAGCAAGGAAACGGAAGGGAGTTCCACATGTGGGAAGTGCGAGAAAAATATTGAAAAGAATATTGAGGTAAATGCGGTGGGTACGTTTGACTAGTACAACAGTAAAAAGGAAGGACCGAGACGCCAATCAAGTAGCAAGCTTAAACTCACGTCGTTCGGTCACCAAGGGAAAAACTTCGTCAGAGATGTTGCTATGAAAATATTTGTAGAAAAGACAAAGGGAAGCCACGTCAAGTCGGTGAGAAAATGTCGAGAGGCTATGTCAGGGTCTATTACATTGCAGATCTTGGATTTTGTCAAGAACCTCGAAACGAGTAGCAAAGGCAGTAAGCCGGATATGGCATCTGTATTGAATGTACGGATGAATGGTAGACTTGTTTATGTGCAAAATAGACTCTGACAGGAACAACCTTCTGGTATAACACAGTAACCCAACTTTCCTTGATTTAGATGCGGTTATTGATTCGATGTAGTGGCTTCACATCAAGTCAGTTAAAAACATCAGACCAAGAAGGCGCGGTGTTTTTCACTCCATGAGTATAGCGCCAGCCATGCAAATGGCGGCGAGGAAAATGTTTCTATGGTGAGGTCAGTTTCGTCTTCGATGGATTAAAATTTACGAGCCATTTCTTGACCCAGTTAACCACAGATGGGAGCTCCTTAAATATATAATTCATAATTCTGTTATATTACATCAAGTACTGTTTTATTAACACCATCACTATAAGTACGATAAATTATAATTATATGTATATAAAATCATATATATATATATATATATATATATATATATATATATATATATATATATATATTTGGGCAGCAAACTTTCTTTCAAACATGTTTCGTTTAATATAACTTACAAGGACATTTTATATTGAATTTTCCTAGTACACTTAATTTTTTTTCTCCCTCCGTTTGGGGTAAGTCAATGTAAACATTGTCCGTAATATCTATTGTACCAAGCGCCTTTGGCCATTTTTTAAAACCATTTTAAGGTGTTTGTTGTTAAATTATTTTCATAGTTGTCTTTTAAGATGTAGTCGTGCAATGCCGATTGTAGGGTACTAGCGTTTATCCGAGCTCCGCGTAAGGAACGTGGCTCTGTATTGAGCACTTTTTTTAAAAATAGTGTTTTTGGAAGTTTATTCCATCTACACCAGCCTTGTATTCGTGTATATATATATATAATATGTGAAAATATATAGAAAATAGGAAGGAACTGGTTAGGTAAATAATCCAAAGTCCCTTAGTATTTTAGTTATTATTTTAAAAAAATAGTGCTCGATACAAAAGTAGAGCATAAATATAATTATTTATTTAATAATAATCTATTAAATATAATTATTTATTTAATAATAATCTATTAAATAATAGACACGAGTTAACGTTTTTTTGTAGGCATCATCAGATTTTTGGTTTGAATTATTAGATAAAAAAATTTATATAACTTGTTTAACAAATAGCCCAATCATCAGATTCATAGTCGGAATAATTAACTACAAACATGCATACAACATAACACACTTCATAATCCATAGCCTAAATTAGTAATTTAAATACCTTACCTATAAGATAACCCTTTATGAAGTCGTCAAAAAACAAACGTTACGAAAGTTTTTCTTTTTTTATATGCACAATTCCCTTTCATAATAAAATAAAATAAAATAAATAAATAAATCTCCATAGACAAGCAAACTAGACGATGGCCAATACATCTTCCGTTTCATTTTTGACACCCCCCACCTTTCCCCCGACTTGACACTTGACACCTCTATACCGCTACTTATTATAAACACCCTACACTCGCCTACCCAATTTAGACAATTCACCATAGCTGTTACCATGGGGATTTTGATTTCAATTTTAAAACAAGTGAAATTTCAGATATACGTTATTCAACAAAATTTCGCTTGAAGATGGAACGGAGCCCATTTTACTTTCAACTCAATTTAATTTAAAGGATTATATTGAAGTTTTCGGCTCTTACTCTGGTTTTTGAAACATGAGACCTCTTATGTAGCGATTTGGATCATCATATATATATATATATATATATATATATAGAATTTTTACGTTTATACATTCTGTTTTATTGATGCAAATATTTAAGTAAATGCTCTATTTTTTATAAACAGTTTTAACAACATTTACCGGCCTGAATGTCGGAGAAACTGTCATAGAAAATATGCGTCCTCCGACATTAATCGAACCTGTATCCTATACGGAACCGTCATATAGCTTGACGTGCTTTTACCGATTTCGTCACAGAGGAGCATCTCTGTTAGCAAGGTTGATTTTACTGTTTTTAAACTACAATTTTCCATGATTTTCTCACGTACATTCATATCTGCTGGGTGCCTATTCAAATGTAAACAAATCACATCGCAAATCATGAAATGGACAATGTCCGACAATTATTTTAAAACAGTTTTATGTTTCTACATTCCTTTTATAGATAAACATAAAAATGTCTTAAAATTGCTCTTTTGTCGGATAAATTTATCTATTCCACCAATATATATATATATATATATATATATATATATATATATATATATATATATATATACGAATGGAGTAATGAAAGATTTTCGGTCTCAACAACAAAATTGCTGCTAAATGTAACAACCTTTTTATTCTTTTAGAAATTATCCTATCCTCAATTTTTAGTTTAGTGTTTCTTCCCATAAGATCAGATTTTCTCTGAAATGGTTCTTTTTCGCAACTTTCGTGTTATAAGATGAAATAATTTCTCACCGTAAAAAATCTGGAAATTTCTTTGCAGCTCAAACATCTGGAGCTCGATTTCGAACAAAATCTATAAGTCAATAAAAAGAAGATAATCTTCTTACGACCATTTTTCTGTTTCTTCTCTCTCACTCTCCCTCATTCCGCCCCTCTCTCTCTCTCATTCTCTCTCTCCCTCTCTCATACATTTATTTATAACTTTTCTTATCAATAAATCAACATTCCTTACATTAAACAATCTATGAGAACCTAAAGAAAAAAAAAAGATAATAGAGGCCTCTGACCGACATTCTGACAATTATCATGTCTTTTTTTTTGTCTCTGTCTCTTTCTCTCTCACTCACCGCTAACTCATTCTTTCTAGGATCGTATAGTACATTCTTACTCTCTTTCTCTCTTAAGAAAAAAATTTTTCTTAATATTTTTTCCTTCTTTCTCTCTCTCTCTCTGCTAACTCATTCTATCTCCATTTTTCTTTTCTCTTTCTCTCTTCACCTAAAATCTGAAATTTCTCTCTTTCTCTTTCACTCAGACAAAAATGTTCTTTTCCCTTTTCATCAATCAATGAAATCTTCTTAACCATTTTTTTTTTCTCACTCTCTCCATTGCAACTCTCTTTCTCTCTTTTGTCTCTCTTTTCTCTCTCCTCACCTTAACAAAAAAAAGACTCTCTCTCCATTACTCTCTCTCTCTCTTTGTCTCTCTCTTTCTCTCTCACTCACCGCTAACTCACTCTCTCTCCATTACTCTCTTTCTTTCTCTCTCTTTCTCTCTCACTGACTAAGCCTCTCCAATCATCTCTTTGAATAACTCACTCTCTCTCCATTACTCTCTTTCTCTCTTTGTTTCTCTTTGTCTCTCTCTCTCTCTCTCTGCTAACTCACTCTCTCTCCATTACTCTCTTTCTCTCTTTGTCTCTTTTCTTTCTCCTCTCTCCATTCCTCTCTTTCTCTCTAACTTCTTTTGTCTCTCTTCGGCTCTCCATTAGCTTCTTTCCTCTTTCTCTCTCTTTCTCTCTCACTCACTTTCTCTCTAATCCTCATCTCTCTCTCTCATCAGACACTCTCTTTCTTTCTTTCTCTCTCTCTCTCTCTGCTAAATAAGCATTATTTTCTTAACGACGATTTAAATTCATATCCAGTTCTGAATTTGATTAGCTCGTTCGAAAAGTAATATTCCACCTATTTGAATTTTATTATCTCCAGTGCTATGCAAGCTTAAGCCTTAAGATGCTTTTTTTTCATAGTGAGGATTTTAATATATGCTGATTCACAAGCCATGGCATCATCTTTATTGACACATTCAATTCCTGTTGATCTTACTACAAAAAAAGAAAAAAAAAGTATCTGCTAAACTGAAATATCCAACAGCTATAATTATATTGCTTCAAATGTATGTTCGTTTTTTTACATCCAACTTTATTATAATGGTTACTTCGTATTTGAAATAGACGCCGGCTTAATTATTTATTAAACCGTGCATATTACTTCTATCGGCTTTCGGATTCAAGGAGTTTCATTAAAGATAATTTGTTCCCAACCGTTCTCACCCATCTAGTTTACCGCTCGTTATTAGAGTAGATAGATCGTATTTGAAATAAACGCACTATGATTTAATGAGACGTCTATTTTAAATACGAAGTATCCACTATAATAACATTTGAAGTATAGTGGTCTGAAGATAATAAATGTTTTGCTGGTAATTTTACTGTTGGAAATATATTTTTATATTTTCATAGTGTGTTGTTTTTGTTTGGAGCTTTACCATTTGTCAAACACTGAGGCCCTAACAAGTTCTACCACCCCTAGACAGAGTGGACCCGTTAACCACAGCAATTAAGAAGTGGCCCCACGCACCTCAATACTTTCAATCCCCGGATCACATGTATTACTGCCGGACGTATTTTATCGCCATACCCAGTACTGATTAGAACAGACTAGGATAGATAGATAGATAGATAGATAGATAGATAGATAGATAGATAGATAGATAGATAGATCTCTGTGTGTGATAAAATATATACCACATAAATATACACATACACTAATACACACGGAAAAATATAGATAAATATCTTTATACTGTTCACATTATTCGGAATATTGTCCTAATCTTTGTCACCATATTTATTACAACGTTTCGGCCGTTGTACGCTCCGGCTTTCTTCAGGTGATTGGAATGTCGAACTGAACCCTTCATTTCGCTAGTTCCACGTGCCATGTTTAATGGATGCCAGTTGTCAATTATCTCCTGTTAATTTCCCTCTCCAAGTTCTCCACTGCTCTCACCGGATATTGAACTCACACTGGATCTAACTAACGCCTTTATCCACTGTGCCTTTTGTCTTTGAGGACATATGTTTATGAATTTCTGGTCGTTGTAATAAATATCGCGACAAAGATGAGGATAGTATCTCATCTCAGAAATATAGACGGATGTATATTTATCTATATGCGCATATGTTTGTGTTTGAGGGTAGATGAATAAATATTTCTTTTGGCTTAGTTCTGACTAGCAGTAGAGCCCGGCGTTGCCCGGGGATATAACAGTAAGAGATAGATCAAGTATCCACCATCATGAAGACTGAAAAATAAAATTGACAAAGATTATTGTTTAAGGTTGACGGACACGCATGTCTTAATTCGTAGATGGTTCGGTTTTTTTTTTTTTTTTCACATCAAATTGGACAAACCCAAACCCAAACTCAAACAAAAACATTGTTTTCAATCGTTATGGAGTCTCCCAATTGAATAGAATTTTATTATAAATAATTGTCTTGTAAATGGATTTTTTAAAAGCATTCTGAATGTTAAAATAAAAGCTCAAAAAAGTGTGCAAGAGAATAAGATAAACTACCTGACAAAAAAAAAAAAAAAAAAAGTTTTGTTTTTTATCGGCTGAAAAATATCCCTTCTTCGCGGTCACGCAGAAATCCGCTCCCCATATTTAAAGGAACCCACACACACAAACAACCCCGATGTGAATTGTCCCCTTCCATTTTCTTCTTGATGTCTCTTAATCGTGTTTTCAAATTGATTTTTGTGCAAAAAAACAATTATATTTTTCCCATTTTTGGCGCTGTTAGAACCACCACAAGGTAATTTTATGTAGTCCTGTGAAGTTTTGTTGAAATCGTTTGTTTTAAAAAAAAAAAAATGCTGAATAAGAAATCCGATCCAATATATAAACAATACAGTCTTCAACAGACACACACACACACACAATCTGCGTTTTATAATAAGTAAGATCTATATCTGCTGCCACATAATTTTCGATTTCTATGATCAATGCAGAAAGATAATTTGAAGACGTCTTTTACAACCAATAATTCCTTATTTTATTCATTAGGAAATAAACCCAGTCATTTTATATCTATATGTCCATGGTTTTATCTATATCTAGAATCCTCACAATATCTGTGTGTATGTATGTATGTGTGTGTGTGTGTGTGTGTGTGTGTGATCGGATGTTGTTTATGCTTTTCCACAGTTTTCAGCAGATTTAGATTAATTTTTTTTTCTTTGATAGGTAATTCCGATTTTGAGTCCAAATTAGCTGGAAAAAATTACAACCTTAAAGGTGAAAAATCGAAAAACTGACTTTGTTACTGTTGTGGATTCCGAGATGAAATTCGGTCTCCAATGAATGACAAACGCAAGAAATAAAGATAAGAAATTAAATGTATTTACAACAATAATACAATGGGTATAATGTTAGTAAATCCAGGATTTGAACTGAACAGTTAGTCGTAATAAATATATATATATATATATATATATATATATATATATATATATATATATATATATATATATATATATATATATATATATATATATACAGACTCGAAAGTAGGACTTCCTTAGAGTCTACGTGCTTGTAACTATGACTTCTACAAGCATTATATTTTACCTCACACTATTACTCTACCTGCAACTCAATCACAATCTCTGCTCACTCTCCCAATCTCTCTCAATCTCTATATTCTGACTGACTCTTGGTATTTAACGGTAGCAGTCCCAGTAATACTCTGGTCGAGTCCACTTATATGAAAAAGGGGTGGACCCCATAACAGTTACACTTTGCACATAAATCAAAGGCAAGCTCTAATGTCTGTAAAAAATCAGCGTACAATCAATTTAGAGAGTTGAAATCTAACGCAAAAGATTATTATAATTATAAAAACATTATAATATAAATAAAAACTATCGTATATTATTATGACGTTCCATGGAAGAGGTTCCTTCCTTGCAAGATTGAGAACGCAAAAACGGACCTTTCCAGTGCCCCCACCCAATTCAAATTGTTAACCCCCCATCCCATTTAGGGATTGAGACACAGTTGCACCTAATTGCTGTTAATAATATTGATTTTAAGGTGGGCTGACTTTAAACTTAAACTGATCCAAATGAATGGCAAAATTCCCAGTAATGAAAGACCTGGTCGAAGACGGGTTATACTGCTAGTAAATGTATATGCTGAGAAATTTATATGTTGAGGCTGCTGAAATTTCTTGGACCTATAATGAGGAAATAAGGCTTAGAAAGCATAATACTCAAAGGGCATGCTGGGGCAAGAGAGCTGCTGAAAGTTAGCGAGACACATACAGAGTTAGCGTCTGTAAAAAAAATGGCAGAACGAGGGTTGAGAGACTTAGAAAAAGTGTTGGAAGTGATGAGAAGATTTTGGAAGGGTGAGGGCCTATATCCTGAAGGGATGCGGTACAACGATAAAAATATATATATATATATATATATATATATATATATGTGTGTGTGTGTGTGTGTGTGTGTGTGTGTGTGTGTGTGCAGATATGTAAAAAAAATAGGAAAGAACACGTTAGGTAAATAATCCGGAGATGTTTAGTATTTTTGTTTTTATTTTTAAAAAACAGTGCTCCATACAGAAATAGATCTTAAATTATAATTATTAATTTTCGCTTGAGGATGAAACAGTGGCTTGATACTTTAACTCAATTTAATTTTAATAATTATATTGAGGTTTTTCGTCTCTCTCGGTTTTGAAACATGAGAACTCTTATGTAGCGAAGGAACCATTTTTTAAATAATTATAATATATATATATATATATATATATATATATATATATATATATATATATATATATATAATGATGAATGTCCTTAATATGTCCTCAGCTTGACACCTAGATGTTAACTGATGTCTGACCAAAATACTGTCTTTTTTCAAACAAATATTCTGCAACAATTCCACCAACAAAAATAGGGTGGATCATTGCTTTAGGGAGTATTATTTTTTAAGGTAATCACGATTTACATTAAAATGTTTACATCTCCGACAAAATACAGAGGAGAGAGAGAGAGACACACACACACACACACACACACACACACACACACACTCTCTCTCTCTCTCTCTATATATATATATATATATATATATATATATATATATAATTATTTATTTTAAAAAAAATTATAACATAAATAACATAAAATCACTACAAAATAGCCATGATGATGTTGAGTGTAAAATAAATGGTTTTAAAAGTTTCAAATTAACAATCCTTCACAAGGAGCACTATTTTAAGAATAGTAATTGTTGGTTATTGAATTCATTCCATATACAACTTAGATATATATATATATATATATATATATATATATATATATATATATATATATATATATATATATATATATATATATATATATATATATATATATCAGTTCAATTCAGTTATGTGCCATGCGTGATACACGCGTAAGCGATCATGCGTCTTTCAAAACATGACTGACGAGGCAGACTGTTTTACTCGCAGTAGTTTGCCATTTCCTTTTGTTATAGACCAGTTGCCATCCAAGGCTATAGATCCCTGTCTTTCCTGCTATTTACCCATAACTGAGGAGAGAAGCAGAGGATACATAACTTTCTCAAGGGCATTAGCACGTAAGTGAATGTAATGGAATCGAGCCGATATCCATTACTCCAGCCTAATTAGTTGGATTGATGTGAGTTTGTGATCCTGGGTTTACGCTCTCTGCGATAGTCAGACAACCTGATTAATTATTGCAATTTAGATTTATTTATGGTTGCGTATATCCGTGTTATATGATAGTGGGACGGAAAATATATATAGTGGTCTGAAGATAAAAAATATATATATATATATATATATATATATATATATATATATATATATATATGTATGTGTGTGTGTGTCTGTGTCTCTGTGTGTGTGTGTAAAATATATAGAAAATAGGAAAGAACTCGTTAGGTAAATGATCCAAAGTTCTTTACTATTTTTTGTTATTATTTTTAAAACAACAGTGCTCGATACAAAAGTAGAGCCTAAATATTATTATTTATTTAAAAATATGATACCACCGCTACATAAGAGTTCTAATGTTTCAAAACAAGAGGCGAAAACTTCAACATAATTATTTGAATTAAATTGAATTAAAGTACCAAGCTCTGTTCCATCTTCATGCGATTTTTTTGGGAAATAACTAATTCCTGAAATTTACGCATTTTGTAAGCATATTCTTTATTAAAATTAAAATTACTATGGTAACGGCTAGTGCAACATATATATATATATATATATATATATATATATATATATATATATGTTCTTGTTTAAAGAAGAGCTTACTTTGAGAGAAGAGAAATGATAATCTTGAGTGTACGCTGGAAGAAATAAATTCTCTCCTACGATAGACACTCAGTGACCAAGAGAGAGGAAATAACGTAGGAGGAAACAATGAAATAGTGCACCCTGTCCAGCCAGAAACCGGTTTCGACTCGTGGCTACCGACCTTGAAAGAATTCAAAGAGGTTATATTATCAGCTAGATTAGCTTCGACCCCTGGAGCCTGTGGTCTTCCCTATAATGTCTATAAGAGATGTCCGAATATTCAGTTACATCCCTGGAAGATATTAAAACCAATTTAGAGAAGAGGTAAAGTTGCAAAACAGTGGAGCTTCGTTAATGCGATGTGGATTCCTAAGAAAGAAAACTCAAGAGGAATTGAACAGTTTAGAATAATTTCTTTGCTGGACACTGAAAAAAATTTTTTTTCTTCAGCATCTTGTCCCAA